ACCTCGGGCATGATGCTGCTTGCGTAGGCTACGGCCATACAGAGTTTAGTCTCAACAGCAATTATGGTCTTCCGGGTTGACGTGCCGCATGGCATATAACAAAGGTTGCCCAAAATTAGGGACTTCAGTTTGGGGGTGCCTCTCAAAAGGATATCGTAGTTTGGGGTCTATATTGGGGTCCCCCTATTTTAGGAAACTGCCACATGGTAGTTTCCAAAAACAGGGGTGCCATTAACATACGCCCAACATGCTAGCACCGGTGCCAAAGGGATCCCCGAACAAGAGCCTAAACCAAGCCCTAAACCCTAAACAGCTTCTGGCTGCAGATCCTGACCCCTTATGAACTGCTGCATGATCACAGTTGCCAGTTCACTTTGGTTTGTCATTTCCATTTGATTCTCCGGTATTCGTGTAGTATCCTTCATTTTTAGTCCATACACTTCCAAACGTATACGTCCCGATACAAACCTTATGTATTCCTATATAACAGAAGGATTTGATGACACGCAGTGTCATTTGCGCATGCATGCTCCTTGAAAATGTATGTTGTGCACTGTGAACTTCAATCGTGCGAGGCATGTTGTTGCCGTATAGAAATGTTCCCCGAAATCAAGGACTCACAGACGTATCCGAACAAATATTCAAGTCCAGCAGGGGTCTTATCCTTATTTGCTGGGCTCACATTATGTTCTTAAGAGTGGCTGTTGGGTGGCCGCAGAGTAGCCTCTTCCTAATGAGAGTGAGCTGGGGTCTTCGTCAAGTTGTGCATTGGTGTGTAACTCAGTGACTGGTCTCTTCGAGAGTGTCACGGTATTCGTGCAGGAGGTGTGAGTGGAAACATTTGTCCCGAAGTACAATGTACCGGATACAGGGCAGACATATCGTGAGTGAGTTCGAGTTTTTACATTGTGCAATTACAGGACATCCTACCTGCTTTAGGGGTTTCGAGGGTATTGGGCAGGGCATTAAAGAACCTTTTGAATGCTTACCTGGAGGGCTCTGCAAGATACCCTAAACCCAAAACCCCTAAACCCTACCCCTCATGTGGTTGCCTGTATCTCCCGTCAACTGTCAGCTTCATCATAAACACCTACCGTGAAGCAGATCACAGTTTTGAGACCCAATCCCGTTATGGTTATATAGGGTTAGATAAGGTTATATCGGGGTAATGGCAAAGAAAATGGAAACTACTATAGGGTTTATATGGACGTTAAAGCCTGTACCCCAAACCATTTACCGTAAACCCTAAGCCCTGAACTACAAGCTGGCCAATGTTTGTCTTAGCGCAGGTGGAGATGGACGTCGCGTCGCAGTTTTATCGGATGCTCCTGCGTTGCAAGCTAGGTTTGGTCATGGTTGTTAACCTGAACCCCTAAACCCTAAACCCTAAACCTCGCCCCACTCCCGGCAAAACTATGGCTGCTACAGCGAACATGTGTACCTATTGAAAGAATCTGACAATCGGCTCAGCTAAACATGCATTCAACATCTTCTAGATTCTAGACTGTGCTCATCTGGGAGATTCTCCAAAAGTCCCGACCAATCCTCATATGAGCTATTATAGTCCAAGCTCCTGGTATCCCCCATCATAAGCCCCATAATGCTCCCCTATATAATCCCCTATATAAGCCCGTTCAGACTATAGCTCATATGTCCCTGCGGTCCCCTCGATCTGTAAAGGTGTTTCATTTGGAGAAGCCCAATGTGTGTGGGGTTTAGGGTTTAGGGGAACCCTGAACCCTGAACCCTGAACCCTAAACCCTAAACCCTAACCCCCAACCCTAAACCCTAAACCCTACACCCTAAACCCTAAACCCCGTGCCTTGCCTCATGCTTGTTGAAGCCTGGCGTTTGTCGGGGTGAGAGGTCAAGAAAAGAGTAAGGCTGAAGAAAGCTAAGCCAGAAGCTCAAACAACTGGAAGCTTGACAAAGATCAACAAATTTGGGCCCGTTCCGGAGCCAGCAAGCCTTGCAACTCCTACATTGGCTGAGGATCAAAGCGTTGCAAAGGATCAAAAAGACTGTACTGTCCTTAGGAATATTTTTAATTTCTATTATATTATACTATAACCCTAGGGAAATGTTTAAAGCATTTTTTATTATAGGTCTAAGGAGACTACAGAAGAAATTTGATCAATTCTGGAAGCTGCAACCAACGTAAATGGCAGCACGTGCAGCCATCAAGGGGCTGCAAGCGCAGCGTGTGGAAGCTTTTCAGGGCTGGACATCCGGTAAACTGCATGATGTGCATGAAATGCGGTACACCACTCTACATGTAGAATACGGTAGTTGCGTTCAGAGGAGAGCCTCATTGGGAGGGGGGGGGGTGTGAATGTTTGCTATCACCACAAACCGCTTTTTCAACCAGGCCCGCTTGCGTCAAGGAGCATCATCCGATCCCGTACATTGTATTTTATTTGCAGATGCTGCTCTCTCTTGGATCTATGGACCCATGTCATGTATTTGAACCGTTTGCAGACGTAAAAAACAGCATGAGCAGGGGTTTCGCAGTGCCGCCCACAGAGCCAGCTGCAAGCATCATGACAAGACAATCCATCTTCATCTCTGCCCACATACAGTAGCCAGTGAAAGGTGCTCTGGATGTTGATGCCGAAAGCGCATGTTGGACCAAGCGGTGGGCGGGTGTGGGAAGACCCGGCAGTTTGCCAACATCATTTCCGGTGATCCCTTATAAGCATGCACGGTCGAAAAGCACGGGGGATAGCTGGTGGGGGCAGCGCCCCTCCCAAAGTTGCAAACACTAGGGTTTAGGGCTTAGGGTTTAGGGTAACATCATGACAAGGTAGTGCATTCTTACCGTGCTTCGCATACATGTTGACGTAGTGTCTGGATGGTAGTAACATTGAGAACAATAAAGACAATATTCAACTAGTAGCAGTAGTAAAATGGCAACAGTATCGATACTAGTAACAATAGTTTAGTAGCAATACTAATAATACCAATTGCAATAACACTATTATAAACAAGAGTAACAATGATATTAGATAATAGCAACAATATTATTAATACCAATGCCAATAACAATACTATAGATAATCGTGGCAATGATAATGTTAGATAATCGTAGCAATGTTATTAAGACCATTTCCAATAACAATAATATTACGGAGTGCCCCTTGGAATCGAGAGTGCAGGGTTGGGGGGAGCGCAGTGCTCTTAATGTGCAAGACATTGTGTGTTAGTGGGGAATTGGCATATAATATGGGCTTAGGGTTTAGAGTTAGTAGAGAGTAATGGGATATAGGGGGATAAGATAGGGTCATACTTCTGGACTTAGAGATTATTTTGGGGTATGGGGAATCTGCGATATATGGACTATCTAGGGATGGCATTGTGGGCAGATGTTCCGGACACGTGTAAACAAATTGGATGACTCATTGCTGCTGATATTCGATACCCCTGATAACACGAGGCTTGTAAATCGCAATGCATGCTACTTATACCTACTATGGAGTTCACTTAAGATTCGAATCGAATTGCGCCTTGTGTTTTTTCGCCAAGCTCGCCATTACTTCGTGACGTCTTACGTTTCACGCCTTCTGACTCCTGTCTTGTGCTCTTCCTTTCTTCCTTCCCTTCTTTCGTCCTGCTCTCTTCTTTCCTTACTCACTTCATTTCTTCCGGGCTTCCCATGTTCCCTGTTTGACTCCTTCCTTGCTTCCTTCGTTCCATGCTGTTTGCCCTGTTCTCCCCAAGTTTCTTGACATTGCAGCTTTTGGAGCCCAGTGCCGCCATGCTTGTCGTCTACTATGCCCATGGCCCGAAACCCTAAACCGTCCATAGACCATGAGGAATAGACGTCGGCTCACAGACCCTGAGCGCAAGAGGCTGGAGAACGGGTATCTTTGCAATCGAGCAGTATTGGATCTGGTACACTATAGTCCCCAGTGCGGGTAAGATGATATCCTCCAAAATCTTCCTAGTATCTCAAAGAAGGGTGCTCAATTGTTGGAAACATTTTTCGATCTGGTAGGGTTTTTCAAAATCAGGGTACCGTTAGGGACCTAGGAGTGCATGGGAGCTATCAGGGGATGTGGGGGCTCCTGATAAGAATTCCAGAGGTGTAATTGTTCTACATAGATGAGATTTTTGCGCTACATGAGCTATAGTCTAAACTCCTTAAAGGGGGTTATATAGGGGAATATATAGGGGACTAGTATAGTGGTTATTAAGGGGGATACTAGGAGTTTAGACAATGGCTCACATAGCACCCCCTTCAGAATACGCGTTTTATTGTCACCTGAACGGCATCTCAGGTATTTGTGGATAGACTGGCTGCTTGTCGCAAGGTAAAGGCGCGTTGAGTTTGCCATCGGGGGTTCAACTTTTGTGGCATATAGAGGTTTTGGATAGGGCGTGTTTTCTAAGATTCCTAGAATCAGGTTTTTTGGTGCCAGAAGGGGAACCCTCCATTTTTGAAAGTTCCCATCCTTCAACGAGAGGAATTGACATTATTGACACAACGCTCTGCCTTATTCGCCCGCCAAAAAGCAGAATTCCCTTACGGGCGCTTCCAGAAGGTACCCCAATCTTGACGGCCCATATGTGGGTTTGATGCCGAAGCTGTAGGACTTCTTCTAATCCTTCTGTCGTGGCGTAGCCAACACGCCATTCTCAGCAGGGAACTTGTGGGGCATGTGCTAATCAGCTGCAGTTGGCCCATGGTAGCTCCCTAAACTCTAACGATCATCCAAGGTTTTCTGTGCCACAGAAGAGCGTGGCCAACAGTGCCACTGACAGTTCACTGGTGGAGCGCCACCTCTCGCTGTGCATTCAATCCATCCCGAATTATGTGGAGGTCTGTGACGTGTTTGTGGCACTTACTCCTAGGCTATGGCATAACGACCTTGGAGAATTGTGCGATTTTTCTACATGGCTTTCCCGAGGTTGGTGCAGGACCTTTTGTTGTTGTACTGGTGCAAATGAGCTGCCACATGTTTTGGTAAGTTGCAGTGCCTTATGTTCGGCTCAGGACCGAGATGTGGTGCAAAATCTTATCATCCAGGTCAGATGTGCCCCTGGTTGGGGTCTCGAGCGCTGACAAGGTGGACTTTTTCTTGGCTCTCAGGTGGGTGGACTCCCCAGTTCCTGAAGGCAATTTCAGTGTGGAAGCTGATCGAGAAGTTTGCTGCCGCATTACGAAGGCTGCGTTGGAAGCCAAGTTGGGCCAGCTTGCTGGCAAACGCAAGCACCTCAACGTATTCAGGTACCTTGCAGGCAGGTATGAAGACTTTATTGGCACCCCACCCAGGACGCGGACCCCAGAGTCATTTGCTTCGAACTTTCACATTACTTCGCTGGAGAAGTCTGCCAAACAGCGGAAAGGTGTTACGGCAGTCGCTTGTGCTGTTTTGTCGGGAGACGTTGGCATGCTGCGACATCTGGTAAAGTGCAGAGCGCAGCTTGACATCCAAATGCCAGAGTTGTGGGAAGTGGGATTGCCGCCAGGGTGCACAGCACTCAATCTGGCCTGCACGAGAGGCTCTCGAGGTCTGGATATCCTGGAGGAGCTCCTGAAACTTAGATGCGATGCCAACGCTTGTGACCAAGTTGGCGGCCCTGCGTTGTGCTCTTGCGATGACGACAGAGCGGTTGAGCTTCTTGTACGGCAGCTTTGGGAGCAAAGAGTAGTTGGAGTGTGCAGCCCTTGTCACCTCCGTGTTGGCCGGATAAGGTACAATGCAGACATCAATTTCGCGAAGCCTCCCACGAAAACACCTGCGCTATGCGGCGTGTGTGCCCGAGGTGCGGAGCACAGGTTGTTGTGCGACGGGGCGGAGATGGTATTGGTATGCCAAGCATTTAGCCGTGCAAGTCTAACGAATGTATATCGTAGATTTGATCACGTGGTTGCCTCAATCCAATTGCCCTTCTGTCGAGAGTAGGGCAAGGAGACAGAGCAGAGATATGCAGAGATGTCTACACTTTCCGTGTGTTCGAGGGAAGTCTGTTACGCAAGCTATGCTCATGATAACAGTTGGGTGTTGCGGCTCAGGCGCGCCACCTGCAGTTGCGGAACGCCTGCTAGAGCTTGGGGCAGAGGCCCGGTGCTTCCATCAATGAGTGAACGCTGCCACACCTTTTTCCAAACATTGCCATTGTTCTTGGTTGTCCTACTACAATCCATCTGGAAAATCTTACTTGGGCAGGGGGCTGATATGTCAGGGAAGGTGTCCAACGTTAATGCCAGCCTCGGGATTCCCATTTGAGTAGTATTTCATTTGGGGATACCATGGTACCCATGATAGAGTAAGATTCTATCCTCCCTTTGGGGTATAGTATTTTATATAAGGAATATAACCTTACTAGGTTCAACCACCAAAAAAAAAGCTACTCA